AGCCATTATAGGACAAGAATATGTGTCTCCTTTGATTAGTTCAGCCAAACACATTTCGGTTTGATCGTAATACTCGTCATTAATGGTATGAACATCAAAATTTGGGTCTATATAATAAGTCCCTTTGTTAGAATTTTTCATTTGCTCTTCTTCTCTTATTAATCGTTCATACTTAATCACGTTCGCACTCAATTGGAAAAGATCGAGAAATTCCTTGTCTTGGAACTTCTTTTTCAAATCAAAGCTTAGACAACCTTGAGCGATTTTGACAAACTCCTTTTCGAGTAAAGGTACAAAATATTTACTTCTTGCTGTCTTGAACCTTTGAAGGAAACCTTCTGCCCATTCGTTTGGCATTTGACATAGATTCGCCAAATCGGCTAAAGTAACTTCGGACTCGGTCTTATAAAACTGAGTGTGGAACAATTGTTCCAATTGTTACCATGTTTGAACAGAGTTCGCTGACAAATTGATGAACTAGGAGAAAGCTATTCTTGTTAATGAATTAGGGAACAACCTCATTTTGTGGTAATCAGTCACATCACCATTTTGTAGTGTGAATCGCCCTATGTGTTCTAGAGTAGACACCTCTCCAAAACCGGTAAATAGTGAGAATTCTAGTATTTTATACCTTCTAGGCCATGGATATGCTTGGTCTACCCAATCATGGTATGACTTTGTGTAAGTCGGCCTAATGACAGGACGTACCCCAAAAGTCATCTGATCCTGTACTAATTCCATAATTTGATTCCTCAACTTGACGTTGGGGTCATATGGAATTCCTACAGGTTGGTTGACCGGTTGATTTGTTTGAGGCCTGATATTTGGTCCTTGGTTGGCAACAAAGTTGCCATGATTTGGGCCATTGTTACCATTAGCCTGAATCTTTACTCCATCATTAATACGTGGGGCATTCTGTCCATTATTTAGGACATTGTCTCTTACGTTTGAGTTACCCCCCAAGTTAGATGTACCATTGCCACCATTCTGATTTGGCATTACACCATTCCCTGGTTTGAAGTAGAGGGACCAAAAGGTGATTCTACCTTTTGATTTGGACTTAGGACTGGGGGATTATGTCTCACAATAGTCCTAGTTTGAAAATGGTTTGCAAGAGGCACAATTGGCTGACAAATTTGGCCTACTAACTTATTCATTATTTCATTCAAAGTATTCAGTTGTTTGGCCATATTATCATAGTGTGCATTCCCATTCTGAGTAAGTCTTTCCATATTATGAATATTTCGTAGATTTACCTGTTCAACGACATCCTGTGTGAGTTCTCCAAGTAATGCACACATAGTTCGAGAACTCAACTCTGTTATTGGTTCGTAACAACTTTAACTGCTCTGATTCTGTCCATCTGTTCGTGGAGAGCTATGTTGCTCCTCATATCGCTCGATCACAGACTGGACTCCTCCCCGTCTTGCTTCCTTATCAGATTTCTGAGGCATATTGTTTCACCTTTTGTATCTCCAACACCAAACACCAAGGTCCCATTGGGCGTGCCAAATTGTTTCGCGCGGGTAGTCGCTAACAATTAAAAATGGATCAGATGATTGTGTAAGGAACAAACCTCTTGAGACAAAGTCCCAAAAAGAGGTGTTTTATTGGCGATGACTTTACAATTGGAATTAAACAAAATGCCTCCAAGGGGCGCAAGCACACGAGTACTGAAAAGTAATGTTTAAGTCTAAACTAAGAAATTGAAATTACATATTCTCTATTTGAGAGTGTTTGATTCGGGGTCCTTTGCTCTATGTCTTCTCTTCCTTTTATATTCCCTTAATAATTTCTTCGTGATCAACCACTTAGAAACTGCTTGATTGCTTTATAACTACCCACTTTCTTTATGGTGGCTAACGTGTCGTGGAACTGCCGTCTCTAACTGCTGTCACTACTCTTTGTCGTTCAACTGAACTCCTTGAATCGTGGATCGTGATAAGGTTACTCGATAACTGCTTCAATAACTGCACTTCTGGATAACCATAACATCTTATGTTTGCTAAGATCCTGGGCGATTCAAGGGTTTGGGCGAGAACAGGGTCATAGCTCTGGGCGACTGTAAGGCACTTCATTCGCTCAGATCTTGGGCGTCTTGCAAGATTGGACGATGATGTTACCGTGTTTGTGGGCTTCCACTGTATTCATTAGTAACCCTATTTGGGCCTTTATCCTGAATTTCCAGTTGGACTTCATTGTTTGGGCTATTTGATTTGGGGATTCTCTAATTGGACTTCATTTCCCTGGGCTATTCGATTTGAGCTGCACTTTTAGTGTGTCAACAGTAACGCTTAAGTGGTTGTAGTAAGTCCATATATATTGTAAAACGTAATACAAGGCAAGTGAAAAGCAATCATTTTCCAATTATTTTTGCCATCTACATTGGAAATTGGATAACAGGAAGTACATTTAGAACCAAAAATTTGGTTCTACGTTATGAACGAGTCATGGCTTACTATGTTAGAAAAAATTATTTACAGAAGGAAGTATAAAATTCGTTACATAATGTGGGAGTTTTGAGTATAATAGTTACTTGTTTTATGTACATAATGTTTTATTTTCTGACTATTGGCTGGTGTACCAAGGTTAAATATTCAACGAACTTAAATTTCTAGCACTTTATGTACATAAAACAAGGGTGCTCAAACGTGTTTTGGAGCTCTTCTTAAATGGATCAACGAGGTTCTATTCAAAAGCAATCGTGCATACCATCACATCGTGATAATGGACTATCTCAATGTACCCTATAGAAGTCAACTATGATGCTAAGTACATAAGCATATGATTTTTTTCCACTCCAAAGATACTTAGATATAATATATTTTACTAGTAAACAATATATGATCTTGGTTAGATTGATACCGATTCACTATTCCATCAACATATTAAATATTTGGTCTAGTACATAACATTCCATCCACGAGACTGCCTAGCATCAATACATATCACTTCTAGGTGCTAAGGATGCGTGTTCATCAAGTTCGATATCAAGCCCTTATGCTTTTCTAATTTTTTTTCCTCGATTGAATTGCTCGATGCTGAATCGACTATAGTACGGCTTACTGGAAGTAGTCCTTGAGTTTTTTGATTTTAGCTAAAAATTACTAAACATATGAAGAAAAAAATTATAAGCAAACCTTGGGAAAAATCGAATAATAGAAAGCTTTAGGACTCCTAATCTACCTACTTTTCCACTTTGATTCATAGAATCACGTAGTTGACAATATTGACCCATTTTAACAGTTGATGTCCTTAAGTTATTCGACAAGCTCTATCGAGTAGAACGAGCCTGCGTAATATCACTCATTGCATGTGAAAAACCAACAATGGTCATCAAGATTGAAATCAATGAAGAAAGGGAAATACATGAATGCATGATTAATGCAGAGAAATTTTACCATTATATTCGGCGTATACCAACAAAAGATAGAAGGCGAAGACGAACAGGGGCGGAACTATTCATTGTCCAGTGCGGGCAAATGCCCACACTGATTTGCCCGCACTGGACTCCAATTTTTATCTTTTATTTATTTATTTTTTGTTTTTTAGCATTGGATTTTTCATTTATTTATAGTCCAGTTCATACACTAATTTACCCCACTTCAGGTGCACGGTGATTTTTTTGACTCTTTTCCCTCGGCAAGAAATTAAAAATTTTCTTTTAATCAACCCTCATTTTGAAATATTTTCAAACTTCATACATTTCCTTGAGCCCTCAAATTTGCAGCAAAAACGTTCTTGATTGTGTGATTTTTCTGTTTAATATTAGTGATTATGATGATGTGAATGTTGAATATTGGTAATATTTGTGATGGATTCTTGAAATCTTGATTTTTGTCAATTGGTTATGATGATTATATGGTGTTATACCAATTTGTAAAAATTGGTAGTTATTTTCTTATCAATTAATATTTAATTGTCATTTGTGGTTTATTTTAGTGTGAAATGTCAATGGAGAGATTTTTTAAAAGAAAATATTTCGTAGAAAATGTTGATAAAGAGATATCGAATAAAATGGATTTTGATGTTACACAACTTGCTACAAATCCTAGAATAAAAAAAGAAGATGATCATCTTATTAGTGTTGTCACTATATTATTTTTAGCATTATCGTAATATCATTAAATCTATAACCGAAAAGTTCGACCTTGACTAAATTTTGTCTGCATTGGACAAAATTCCTGACTCCGCCTTTGAAGACGAAGATGAGAGAAATATGGTAGCTGGCTGTGGCCCATGCTGCTGGTTACAAAGATGAGTCGCCAATTAATTGAGGGTGGAGTTTCTTGACGAGAATGAGTTTATTTGACATCACGTTTTAGCATATTGTTTTTAGAAACTTGTTAATAAAATTTTAGCATATATTCTCTTCTTGAGCTAAGTAGCTGCCAGAATGATGATCATTAGTTTTATGTGAAAAAATCACAGTTTTTCAAAGACAAAAACAGAATAACTCACTGTTCATGTTACTCTTTAGCTAGTTCAAAACCTTGATGGCATTTATGCTCTTTATTTTTCGTTATTTATCAAGAAATAACTATGAATAATGCTATTTAATTTCAATTGGGAAGTGTTATATGAGTCGAAATTTTTTTCCATAGCTGACTTTGACTTAGTTTTCTTACCCACAATAGGGAACAAAATAAAATGTAAAAGATTCCCATCAGTTGACATTATTAGAAGCTGGGAGGTGTCTACAATTTTGACTAAGCCTCTATTCCCTTAAAAATTAATAGAAAGATTAACTAATATATAAAAAAAATGTCAACTCATAAAACTTCCCAGTTGAAATAAAAAAGCATTCTGAATAGTTATTTCTTTTGATAAATATTGGAACATAAAAAGCAGGTAATGCCATCAAGGTTTGAACTAGCTAAAGAGTAACATGAACTGTGAATTATATTATATTTCAATCTCAAGAAGAGAATATAAGTGACAATTTTATAAACAAGTTGCTAAAAACAATATGCTAAAACGCGATGTCAAATATACTCATTCTTCCCATCCATTCATTAGTCTCGTCTTTTTCACCAGCTGCCACTGCCATGGCCAGCTACCTTATTTCTCTTCTCTTCGTCTTCGTCTTCGTCTTCGCCTTCTGTCTTTTGTTGGTATCATCTGAGTATGGTGGTAAATTCCTCTGCATTAATCATGCATTCATATCTTTTTCTTTCTTCGTTGATTTCAAAGTTGACGATCATTTCTTGTTTTTCGAATGCAATGAATGATATTAAGCAGGGCCTTCTAAAAGAGTACCAGTGAGATCGATCCAGCCTTCCTTTAATCCAACAAAGAAAGCATTTTCCCTAGCAACAAGAACAACAAATCCTTCTGATGGTTAGTCTTATAATTACATCTTATTTGTATCTGCATATCGACTTGTCTATAAATATGATTTCAAAGGGGCGGAGCTAAGATTGTAGAATTGTGGGGACAAAATTGAAAACTATAAGAAATTTTTTGAAAATCTTGTGCAAAATCTTGGATTTGAAATTTAGTGTGGGGGTATCTGACCCCAACGCCCCCGATTGTATATCCGCCACTATGATTCCATATCAATTATAAATCAAGCAATTTTCTGGTTCAACATCAACGCCAAGGGGTAGCTTACTATCCCGGTCTAGTGCATGCCCTTGAGGGCTCTTCTGATTGTATATTTCACTTGTTCAGTAGTAGGGGTATTTGCATTGTGGAGCCTTTCGCCATTGACTTTGGAGTGGCAAGATGACCCTTGTCTTCCACCACAATTGAGCTGGATCGAATGTAATACTGATACCATTACACGAATAACAGCACTGTAAGAATGATTCATACAGCACTGTAAGAATGATTCATACATACTTTCGATGCATTAATTTGATGCACACACCATTATGATTAATCAAAATTTACGCAAGAATTTTCAATTTGTTAAACTTGGAAGTAAATGTAAAATTCAGGTATCTTGGTGGGAAAAGCCTCTCTGGATTTCTTCCTGATATCAGTTATATGGATGACCTTGTAACAATGTAAATATGCTGGTGAATATATTAATTCAAGTTCATATCCTAATTACATCTATATATGATTGAAACTTTCATTTATTAATTTGACTTTAAACTGCAGAGATTTGCACCAAAATATGATTTTTGGAGCTATTCCTTCATACCTTGGTACATTGCCAAAGCTAAAAGAACTGTGAGTCAACTGTAAAATTGCTATACTTGCGTATTAATTGCAGTATCTACATGATATATTTATTATAAATGACTAATACTTTATCAATTTTTTTTATTTTTTCGTGACATAGGTATTTAGCAAATAATCTTTTCAGTGGGTCAGTACCAGATTCAGTGGCATGTAATAAGAACTTGAAGTTAAGGTAACCATGAAAGAACCGAATTGCACAAAATCTTGGTTGGTCGTGGATGGATCTATGCTTTTTTGAAATGTTAGGTATAGAAAGAAGTTGAATAATATTCCGTACTATGTACCGAACATGTCCTTCGATGGTGGCGTGAATCCACATGCCAATTGGGCAATTATAAATAACATATATAAATCTTTACATTTGGTTATATATTGTTGCTTATTTGGTGACTTTATAGGGCACTTTGATGGCAGTTTAACAGGCAATCCTTTATCCACAACCAGCAATAAATGCTTAACCTCAGATCCTGAGTCACCTGCAACAAGAACAAATACTGATCCTGTTACCGTTGAATATCCGAGCACAAATAAGAGAAAGAAGAGCAAGAAATTGCCTATAATACTTGGGAGCGGAGGTTCTGTAGTGGGTGTTTTTTGGATAATCGTGGGCATTTTTGCAATATTTCGCCACAAAGCAAAAGCAGCGGCCGCCATGGCTGCCGCATCTGCACCGGGTTAGTTAGCTGAATTGGTCATTAATGGTGCTTTCGAAGTAATATTTGATGCGTTCAAGAACTCAAAAGGAAAGCTCATCAAAGTGTTACCTCCAATGTTCTACAAGGCACGCCTAGATGGTGCCAAGGCATCGCCTAGGGTATGCGCGGCACAAATGCCAAACCAAGTGGTTTGGCATTTTATTTAGCGGTTAACAATTGCTGTTGTTGACCACTAATGCGCACCTAGGTGTGATTATGCGCGCCTTATTATTATTATTATTTTTTTTTTAAATTTACAACTCTTTTAAGTTAAATCTTAAAAGATGATTTCTTTATTTTATCTATCCTAGATTCAAACCAGCCACTTGAATACTTGAACAAAGAAAACTTTCAAAAATTTCTATTTCTTTGCTATTTAGTATTTATATTTGAAATTTATTCTTTTGTTGGAAACTTTGAAAAAATGTATAAAGTTTCTATAAATATATTTTAAATGTTTGATAAGATTATTTTTAATTATTAAATAACTTTTTGATCTTATGCTTCGCCTAAATTCGTCTAGCCCATAGCTTGACCTCCATGCATCGTCTCGCGTTACGCCTTTTAAAACACTGGTTACATCTAGTTTTTTTTCTTTTTCTTTTTTTCAAATTTATTATTCCTTATAACAATGCCAGCCTTTCTCTCTCTCTCTCTCTCTTTTTTTTTTTTATTACAACGTTCTATCTATGGTAGTGAATTTATTTATTTATTTATTATTATTATTATTATTTTGTTGATTTTCTCCCTTTTTATCTTCAGTGATTTCTCCAAGTATTAATTTATGTCAAATATAAATTACATTATTAATTAAAAATTGCAATATTGTATATATAATGCATGCAGGGCATGATGGTGCACCCAATGATCCGAACCTGAAACCGAACCCGATTTTGTCGCCTTCAGAAGAGACACCTATAAATCCACGGGCTAGAGATAGTCCATAGCACATACTATTTCAATTACCAGCTGGTGTGTCTTGTTTTAATGTTCGTCATATGCAAGTTATTATGCTACGAGCACAACTCCTTGGTTTTCATTAAGCATTGATTCTTGTAAACTTATAATTCATTGCCAAATGTAAAAGTTTTTCCATTAATTTAGAAATTTTAGGATATTTGCTATAGTTTATAAGAATGTTACGATAAAATAATTGTCATGTAACCATATTGCGATGACCTTAACATTTTGTGTGTGTATGCACAATTATATCTCAACGATTTTTAGAAAGTGAATTGCAAATATATCATCACAACAAAATATATTTGTCTATATTCATTTCTAGAAAATTTAAGGGTTCAACCGATAGAGTTTTTGTTTCTTGTAGAATAACTGTATGAGGAAGCTACTTAAGTCAACATCTTCTAAAAATTCATTTAATTAGACAACAAATTTTCAGAAAATTACTCAAACATGTTCGGTACATCTTCTTAGCCACAGACGTTTGCATGAACAAGTTATGATAAAGCTTCAAGTGATCATTGTCTAAACTTAAATCAGTTCAGTTTACTATTTCAATTAATATGAGCCTGTTTGGGAGTTATTTTGAGAATTGATTTTTTGACCGTTAGGAGAAAAGTGGGGTCCACCTGTGAAAAAAGAAGTCAAATATGATGGATGGAATAGTGAAATAAAGGTTAAAAAATCAATTTTTTGAATAAAAAAATCGGGCCCAAACAGGCTCTATATATGCACTTTGCATTTCCATCAACCTGAACTTTGTAATACCAATAGGGTACATTTTGTTGACCTCAAAGTTCTGTCAAAGCCAGCTGTTAACAAACAAGCCATCCTCAACCTTCCGCTCTTGTATATGTATCTATACATTAGGAGAATAAGTACATCAAAATTCGGGGTCAGATACCATTGGGTGATGTGATGTTCGTTCCATACTTCCATTCAGTCGACTAAGTCAAATTTTATATTAGGAGTGTAAAAACAAATAGTCAAAATATTGACCTTGGGTGAAAGATTTCACATAGGCACGTGAAAATGAGAACTCTGCTAAATTTATAGAAAATCTGTACATACAACTTAATAGGATCCCATGTGGGGTTCTGTCATTGGGCAGTGCCCAAATATTACAGCGTTGGCAACTATTATAGTGTTGCCAATACTGTGTATGACACTTGTATAGGTTGAATCACCTGTACAAGTAGCAAAATTTATGAAAACGATCCATGATTCATCAAGTGACTATTGTGGGCCCATGAAAGCTCATAACGAACACATCATGTGAAGTAGTCTAACGGTAATCCTAATTTTGAATTATACATTTATGTGTGATGTTTCAATCTATTTTTACATGGGGAGAAGTTGAATTGGGAGGCAAAGAGGATCACAAACTCGATCTTCCCAAACATAATAGGACATAGGTTCAAGAATTAATTATTTTTGTTATTGAGATTATTTTTCCACAAATTTCCATGTATAGAAGTTGCCATTATCTCTCTCTATCCCACAATCTTAGGAACGCCAACACGCGTTCGTTTGTAGTGTTATCTATTTTGTACAATTTTGCTAATGAAAGCACACTCAAATACCTAATGATAGAGGCTTATCCAAGGTGATCAAGTTATCCACTCGTTATAATTCTTGCATATTACTTGTTCTTGTGGCCGAGAAAACTAAAATAATATTACACGTAAATTCAAAATTTTTCCTTATTTTTCAACTGCACATCATTCATCAATCAACTATTCCAAAACTCATTTAAAAAAAAAAAAAATGGGGCTCAAAAATCTATAAGTTAAAGTCATCAGAGAGTTTAAAATTAATAGGAAGATTACTTAATAGGGGAAAACATTAGCTCCTATATATAACGATTATATATTAAAAGAGAGAAGATAAGAAAATATAGAGTCAAAGATTTGTGTATATTTTATTGAAAATAAAAGTCCAATATTTAGAGAAAAGAATTAGCTAGGGTTGCAGCGGTAGAATAATAATAATAATAATAATAATAATAATAATAATAATAATAATAATAATAATAATAATAATAAGATACAATTGTCATTCACTAATGAGTACTTAATTTACAACATTCTCCATTAACGACCAATTACACAATATCTATCTCGTTAAAAAGTTTGTTTGATAAAAATTCATTGGGAGAAAAATATCAAACGAAGAAGGAAAAAAAAGAAAAGAGAATACGGTTATTTTTGGACTTTTAAGGACAAATGATATATCATTAAAACCTTGTCAAAAAAAATTCAATAAAATAAAACTTGAGTGAAGGGAAGATTTGATTTATAAATTCTTTTAAGTTTTATTATCCATGGTCGGTAAATAAATATGAATACTTTATTTTGATAAGATTATCTCAATTTTATTAAAGTTAATCTTTGAATTTGGTTTATTGAGCATACATTTCGAATGTATTAGATCGGACCATGTGAAATTTAATATATGAAATTGACAACGCGAACTTAATTTGATTGACTATTTTACGTGGGATCCTAGTCATGAGCTATAATTTGAGTTATCAATGGTTGAAATCAAATGATTGGTCGATATGTCGGTGCCCGGGAAGTAGAGTAAAATAACGGGAATATATTTTTGGAATATGAAATCCATAACATATTTAATAGGCACGATCATGACCTCCTATTTAGTGGACAGTTTAATTTTGAGCAAAATAATTAGATAGATTGTTGAATTAATATTGTGATGTGATCATATAGGACTATTAGAAAGAAAAATATGATTTGAGAATTTATGTATGTATGAAACATGGCATTTTGGGTATTTTACCATGTTCCAAATATTCAACATGGTCTACCAATAATTAGTGAGAACAAGAAGTCAAAGAATACAATTAATATTTTATATGTAATTCAGTAATTTCAATTAGATTGAGAGTATATCTCATTCTTTTAATGAAATTATAACAATTTAAGCCTGGTGTCCGACCTTTCTCTTATGTACTGACCGCTTTGAAAGGGCATATTTTCTCATACCTCTCATAGAATTTCTATCACGTGCTTAAATTCTAAGAATGTGACAAAAATCCGCGAAGGATAAAATGGAAGATTTTCCTCTTAAGATTCGAATTTTGTCGTGTCCGCAAGATTCCAACACATGATTTTTCCTTCAAAAAGACTTAAGTTTAATTCTGATTCCAATTGAAAAGTTACAATTGGTACCAGGATTTATAAATCTCTCCCAATTGGTACCAATATTTAATTTAAGTCTCTTTTTAAGGGAGACCGTGTATTCGAATCCTGAGTGAGGCGAAAGAAATCTGTTAGGGTAAGATAGGCTTAACCTCTCCCAAAGTAACAATTCGCAAGATAATGGTTGAGCACGAGGCTCAAATCGCTACAGAAAATAGAACGAGGATTAACCAATTATCTCGACTGATCAAGAGTTGATCGGATCAACAATATTATTTTAATGGAGCTTAGTTTACTTGGGTCCTATTAAGTCCTTTGTTGGTTTCAAAATAAGAACTTGAATAAATTATAAGAGATATACTTCATCATTGGTTGTAGTTGAACTAGTTAATTGGATGGAAGACCTATCACATTCACCACACATGCTTCATATATGGAAAGAGTTTGATTTACTTTAGAACTAAAACTAAAAGGAAGAGTTCTTTATTATATAGGTACTTTCATATTCAAGTTATGTTCATATTATAAATAATTACACATATCGAGGTTCAATTACGATTTTCTTTGTTGTGCTCGCCGTTGATCTCAAAAAATAAAAATTATTTTCTTAAGCCAACGATCAAAATTTCCAAAATTTTGGCAAGATTTCCCCCCTTTTACGGGGATTTTGGGGTTTTTAGGAACAAATTTTGGTAGAAAATGAGAAAGATTGAGTTTTCCGAGTTATTTTGACCGGTTTACCTTTCGGTCGGTGAATATTTGAATTTTCAAGAGGGACGACTTTTAATTTGCCTTGTTTTGAGGTAACTTTTTTAAAGCGTGAATGTTTGAATCTTAATTTTTCAATCCTTTTTCCGAAATGAAATGCATGGTTGCAAACATGCCAAGCAATAGTATACTTTGCAAATTGCACAGTTATCCACCACAATATCCCTAGCCCAAAGAGAAATATCGTTCCACTTGATCTGAAATAGCTTGGATTTCTTATGGGATGACGGCGCCTCTAGTGTCAATTTGATAAGGATGGCCTGGTGCTGCAAGATCCTCGTGCGTCGATTGATCCACCGCTAGGTGTGAGAAGGGGAATGGCGGTCGAACAAGTCTCTAGATGGATAGAGAGAATAGAGAGAGTGGAGAGAGGGGAGTTATAGATTTCTTAAGAGGTGTACCTAATTTTTGAAAGAAAAATCGCTGTGCTTGATTATTGAAATGAAAAATTGAAAAGTAAGTGTGGGGATAATTTCCTCGTTGTATAATTATAAGAGTTTACTTGCATGTGTCAAAATATGTTTCACATTGGTTGAATTTTGTTGATTGCAATAATGGAATAAGCCTTATATCAACATTTAAAAATGGGAGTTCTTCACACATTTACAAAATAATAAATCTCACAAGCTGGTCGAATTGGGTAGCCATTTACTTTACAAACTCTGATGCTCAACTCAAAAATATTTTCAGAATTGATTATAGAGAATGTGTAAATCTTGGTGTCTAATTATGTGAATTCCCTAGGAAATGAGAATAAGAAATATCACATTTTTATGATTTAAAGTATAAGTGGAAAGCACCATGATGGATTACAATTTTAACTTAAGATTCCTCATTGAATCAAACTTTGTTTAACACTTTGGAGTTGTCTAAGCCCCTTTGGCCTCCATTAAATTTCATTTCATTTTTCTCTTTTTTATTTTCAACTATACAATCTTCCATAAAATAATATTAACTTTTCCTTCTTTTTCAACTAATATTTTTTCAAACAAACACAATTCTACCCATTTTCATTTCAAAAAATGGGGGGCCAAAATATAATGGATTTGAATGAAGCATGGTGCATTATCACATCCATATTTAAGTCGTTCCACGTTGCAACAGTTGTCACGTGTAATTGTTACATTGAACTTCGAGTATTATTGAGCTAGTGTAGATTTCGATCTCGATCGTATCCACCAACATATCATGTTATTTAACTTGACCACTTTGTTTAGATATCACTTTGGATGGTGTTAATAACGAGCTCGACGATATCTACATGTTACTTGATCACCTCTGACTATAGCCTTCATAATTTTGTAGCCAAATCGAATGGTTGAGTTCTAGCTCATGTGAATTATCAATTATGTAGCTAAATAAAGTATTGAGCTCCAACTCATCCATACCATGTTGTAGGGTGTAGATAAAATATCTAATTTTCAATCCATAGGGATAATAATCTGCCAGAACAAAAGAATATTTATTTATTTTTGTTAGGATATTAAAAGATTGATGAAAAGGCCAAGCAAATGCCCAAAAAGTAAAGGCAAAAATTCAAGCAAAGGGCCAAAGGCAAATGAAAATGATTGCACGAATTAGATGGGACCCACTCATTCTTTGATGTTCAATTTTTTGACTTGGATTGGGACCCACTGGCGACAATTGTCTTTATGGACTGAATTATATAAGAGTGACTCACGTGGAGTCTGAACCAAGACTCTTACCAACCACAATTAAATCGAATCATGCTATTTTTATTTCAAAATTAAAATGAGAAATAAGTAAAAAATTAGAGTGGGATTCTGGACCTATCAGTTAAGGAAAATTCTACTTGTACATAATAGTGTCCATAATGTGATATGACAATCATCTGATTGTTGATATACAAGTATGAGATTTGAATTAAAAATTGGATCTAGTGCCACGTGTAATTATGAATATCATTATGTAGACAATTATGTACATGTAACACTTCCCATCAGTTAATCCTTCAAACGTAAGGTTCTAACTTTCTCGTGATTAGTGAAACTTAAGATAACAAGAGAATTTAGCTCTTGTTTCAATCACATTATTTTGATAAAAATGCAATTTTGAATAGTATAATGATGAAAAATGTGTGGTTAACAAATAAGGTCATGTTTGACCCAAATTATTTGAAAAAAAAATTTAAACAGTGATTTAACATAATTTCAATCACATATTTTTCAATAAAATAATATTACATGTAAATCCAAATCTTTTCTTATTTTTTAACCACACATTTTTCATCATTGCACTATTTAAAAATGCATTTTTATGAAAATAATATGGCCCAAACAAGGGCTAATTTTTTTTTAATTTGCGTGTAACATTATTTTATTGAAAAAAGTGTGATTGAAATAATATCAACTCATTGTTTAAGAATATATTTTTTTCCAAATAATGTGGATCAAATATGGCCTTAATGTTCAAATTTTAAGAAATATTAAGAGGTAAGACGATTTTACCTTACAATTTTAACTTACATGATATTTATCTACAATGTCTAAATTATGAATTCTCATTAGTATTAAATAGATTGAGGATCAAAACTTCACTTTTTTTAAAGTTTCAATTTCTGTGTTGGGAACCCTAATTTTCGGAAAATTTTAAATTATTTTTTTCCTCCTTTAGATGTATTTCAATCAAGTTTTTTTCCCTTTTTTTTTTCTGGAAAGAAATAAAAAAGGAACCCACTAAAAGCATTTATTTTCTTTTCCTTTTCACATTTTTTTTTAACTCACACATAAATTTCCACTCTTTTTTTTTTTTTTTTTTTTTCTGGTAGAATATTATTGAAATCAAACACAAATTCAAAGAATTTTCTCTAAGGAATTCTCAATGTGAAGTATTATTAGAAGAGATTATTATTGATCTAGGTAGCACTAGATTCGTGATCCAAGTAGATAATAAATCAGAGTCTATTACAACATAGCTTTGTAATCATTTTTGCTAATGACGAATGGGACTATCCATCAAATGCCACAAAACTACACGCACTTTGTCTTGAGATTACTAATACAAGACAACCACACTAAAACCAATTATGGTTCAATATGGTATCAAAGTTCCTTAAGTTTAAGCGATCAATATCATTCATTTAAAACTCAAATGAACATTTGAATTCAAAATTAATATTCTCAAAATAAGCCATTATTTTACAAAGGTATATAAAGAAAATAAATGACACATGTCACACCTTATCGTGACAAGGCAACTATTTACTTTGTTTAGTGTCATCTTGAAATGTGCAACATTGCAACATACCCCCTCAACAAACACAATAAACTGACTCGACCCGAGGCCATCAAACTAAAGAAGCCAAAGTGATCTATCACCTCAGTCGATGTGACATATAAAGGTCGGGTCTTCATGATCGAGGCAAGGTGCCACAATCTGCTCTAGCCTATTTTCGAAACGATGATGAAATATTTCATTCCACAAGACATCTTCTATTACTTCGCCTCACCTATGAGATCCTCTATACAAGATCTTTCATATGATTGATTTATGTGATATCTCTGCAACAATAGTCTCTCAATCAACTTGTCAGTCTATTTTTCAAATATCAAACCCAGACCATATGGTGACCACTTTTCAAAATCATTAAGTATCATCTAAACCTAAGATTGTAGAAGTGACGCCATGAGGATGACGAGTAGGCCTTTATGACGAGGCCACTTATCTTTCATCCAATGATAATTACTTCAACCCTTCCACTATAAAAACTCAAACTAAATGCCATTCACAGGCAATTTAATTTTACACTCTCAATATAGTAATCTTGTTTGGTATTTTTCTTTTTACAATATGGTGCTCGTACACAACCATGTATCTCACTTGATCGGCAAGACACAACGAGCAACATTCATGAATAGTCATGGTTTTACATCCTCCCAATTGCATTGAGAAGTTTGATTCGTTCAAATTGTGTTTTGCTTTCTTTTTCTTTAATATTGTCCAACTTGATCGATTTGTAGGATTTAATTAGGGTTCGGGAAGGCAATATTTTTTTTTCGGAGATGGGGTGGTTTTGTCCAAAGTCACATTTGGGCTTTTTTTTTCATTGAGACAACATCTTATTATAAATATTGTTCCATGACTGATGAGCTCTACATATGAATTCTTACTTGTGACATGCGAAAAGGTCACTGGAATACGGCATTTTGGATTCCCATCTTATGCTGCAAGACATGCTTAGTAAGAGCCTGCTTGACGGATTACTATTGCTTCTGTTTTTATCTTTGAAGTCTGTTTGACAGGACTTTTGCTTTTGCTTCTATTTCATGTAAAAGAGTTTCCTTAAGAAGTTAATTTACATCAGCTTCCTCTTAGAACTCTTGTGTTCAAACTAAGCATTTTCTAAAACTTATTCAAACAAGTTCAAATACCTCGTATTTGTCCCAAATGTTGTTTTTGATTTTTCAAAAACTTGCTATTCTTTGGGTGCGCATTGGGTAAACACTCGAGTCGACGCAATAGCCTGCAAATCACTCCAGCCAGGTAAATCGCACTAGGCAAGTCCTATGCGACAGGTTCAACCGAAAAAGTGTTGGTAGGGGAATCGAACTCGTGACCAAAGGCCTCCGCGCTCACCTATTTTATCAACTCGGCCACCCCGTGATGGGTAATAATTCCTCATTTGATTGGGCGTATACCCCATGTAGTTGAGACTAAATTTTCTGTCACGACATACGAATATCCGGTGAGGTCCTCCAGGTAGTGAGATCCACGTGCTAGTAATTTCCTTAATTTATCTATGTACAGAATTATATATAACTAAAAAACAAGATGAATAATAGAAAAAGGCAAGGCATAGCTGGCGCCATGAAGATCAGTGGTGGGTGCTTATTGGCCCTATTGGGTGTGGCCCACAATAATTTTAATCTGAACCGTGCATTTATGAGGACCCATCTGTCAATGGGATCACTGAATGATTAGTAATCAGTCGTGAGAAACGTGTAAAAGTAGAACCCTGCATTGCCACTTTATTATAATTATTTTATGACAAATAAATAAATAAATGTATAGTAGCGGGAATAATAGAAAATCTTTAATGATTATTTTTAAATATTATAAAAAATTTAAATAGAAAGTTTTGATTACTGACAAAATCATCGATAGTACCTAATCAATCAGTTACTCATACAGAATTAGTGACGTAAATATTATCGGTAATCAATAAATATGTGATCTTAATCAATTGTCTCATTTAATTAAAGGTCGAGTCGATTCTGATTTATTTTATCTATTCATCTAATCAAATATTTCTTTTTTATTTATTGAGCAAATATTAAGGTTCCTAAGGTGTATATGAATTGTGAACTATATGCATAAACAGTCGATTAATGGAATATAACTTTAATAACACAACTCAAAAGAGTCTATATTTGTTGTGCTAAATGAAAAGTGAAGAGATATAAAAATAGGTGAATTGTTTCATATAACCCATTCCCGACCTAACTTACAAAACATGCATGCCAAGTCATTAACCGTTTACATGATCAATCGATCAAAAAGAAAGAAACTTTTCGTCTTGAATACAATCCCTCTAAAGCTATATATTCAATTTTATCCATCTTTTTTTCCTTAAATCTTTTCTAAAGCAAGATCGAAGGAAAAATACATAATTAAAATGATTTCAAAATACATTTTCAACCTCCAGTCTGATTTAAAATTTTTTAGTCTGATCATGAACTCGCCCTTGATTATAAAAGCATTAAATCTAAAATATACGTGGTTCAACCTTTAACAAGTTCATTTTCGAGGGGCTAGAGATCCAATTTACCGGCCTTTATTATGCTTTTTTTTTTTTGAATGCAACAGTACAAGTTAATTTGTTGTCATACCATCATAATATTGATGCAGAAATTATCATATGGTCGTACCAAAATGGCACATGGGCACATACCTTGTAATACATTCAATGGTCCCATTTGATCAAATCTTGTAACCTGAGAATAGTACACCTTTTTTTGTAAATTGTCACGTTTTTAGAAGGTATCTAATTAGGGAACAAAATATTAATGTATCCTAGTATAAGTCCATTGCACGTACAAAATATTTGCTAATTTTGGCTATGTTAATCTTATTTCAGGATGCCAATTAATTATTTTGATCAGTAGTATCTCTATTGTCTGTTTCATTGCAAAGGCCTACAAATGACCCCACACCATGTTAGTTTTGCCCCCTCACTCCATTAATTGGAGAACTATGTACATGTTAATTTAAAATAAATACGTTTTGTGGATAAAGTTGAAAAAAAGTTAACTAGATTCGTGAGGCATTTAAAAAAAAAAAAAACACTTTGTTATTTGTACATTGATTTTTGACATATTATTTGATATTTGCATTGTTGTCAAGTGTTAATTAGATGGAAAAACTGTTTGAAATTTAAACTGTCTAATATGATAATGTCACGTGGCAAAGTGTAAATTAAAATGTGAAAAAAGACAGTCAACTCTTAAGGGAGATACCTTAAGTCGATCTTTTTTTAAAAACTTTTTTAATCGGATAAAACACTTTCAGAAAGTCGTTCAAACATACTCAAAAGCAATTTCTTATTTTCAAAAACAACTTTTGACTTTTTAAAAACTTTGTCAAATGAGCTTTATGACCCATTTGGTATAATTTTTGCTTTTACTTTTACTTCTTGTAGAAGAGTTTTTAAAGGAAGTCACTGTAATTTTTGTTTGAAAATGAACATTTAAAAGCATTTCCCATTCCCGAAGTGTTTTTAGAGTAAATAACATTGAATCGACTTACTCTAAAAACTTTTTTAACTACCAAAAGCACTTTAACAAAATTAACCAAACGGGTCCAAAAGCAACTTTTGGATTTCAAAAGCTCTTTTTGACTTCTCGAAAACCATGTCAAATGATCCTGAAGTAATCTCAAAAGCTAAGCAAATCTTGAGGAGTCTCGCCACTCTTTAAAGAAAAACTTGTTCGCCCTAGTCCAGATAGCAAATTGTATTAATATCTATCCAAATAACTCTTTCTAGTTTTATTTCATGGCTGAGGCGTTAACGTCAAAACTAATAAACCATATAAAGTGGGTAATAATAAATTGGTAAATTTTAAGTTATATCAACTTTCTCTAGTTTTGATGAAACATTTTCTTTTTTTTCTTTTGTGGTTGGGGGGGGGGGGGGGGGGGGTTTTGAAAAAAAAAAAACAACTTAGGCAAAGAACTCAACCCAATTTGTTGGGAATGGCAACTGCGGGACTTGATGAGAGACTTTTCATCCTGGGAAAGTTGGCTAGTGGACTGGAATATGAAACGGCTTTTTTCTTAATATAACAAGCTCTTGTTGAAAAATGCAACAAACAGAAATAAAAATGGAAGAGGTATCCAATTTACCAGCAAGATTTTTTAAGGTTGTTTTGCCTTCGACCACAACCCGACAAAGATTGGTAAGTGACATGCCTTTTTTTTCATTGTTACTAAAAATTGAGTCGTCAATTATATTTTGTGTTTGTGCAGAGGATCCCAAATAAATTTGTTGAAAAGTATGGAAATGAGCTATCGAGCCTTGTCACACTTACTGATCCTAGTGATGGCAATTGGTGTGTGAGGTTGGAAAAGGCGGAGAAGACACTCTGGCTTCACGATGGCTGGGAAAAGTTTTTTGATGACCACTCCATTGATTATGGCTACTTCTTACTATTCAAATACATCGGGGATTCGAGCTTCAAGGTTCATATATTTGACTTGTCGACCACTGAAGTTGACTATCATAATAATCGTAACTTTAAAAAAGATGAGAATAGTGATGACGACTCTGTTAAAATTCTAACTTCCTTCCCTAGTAAACCAGAGATTTCTTCTTCAAGACATGGTGTGGGAAATATATGTGGGATCCATGCAAGATATGATATAAGACATGTAGTCGATAGAGGCAATCGCGATGCAGCTGAGACATCAAAATCTCGCTGTTCTTATCTGACACGAAGCAAGTGTAAAATAGATGGTGGAGGACTGGAAATTAAAATGGAGAATTTGAATACATCAAGTAAGTTATCCACGATAAGTTTCGCTTAAAAATAATGAATTGGTGAAATATTGATAGTCATATTGTAAATGTTGCAGCAAAATTTTCACCTAAGAATCCTTCATTTGTAGTCGATTTGAAGCCAAACAATCTTTTTCCAAGGTGTTGGATGGTAAGCTCTTGAGCTTTGAGTTTACTATGTCATAAGTATAGCTTTCATCTGACCCTAACGTGGTTAAGTTTTTCTTATTTCTGAAGTACGTTCCAGTCGCATTTTCTCAGCATCTTCCTGGAGCTTCTGAGCATTTTGAACTTCATGATTCTGATGGTAAGAAGTGGCTACTCAATATCATTCGAGGAAAAAGACGTCAGAACTATTTAGGCAAAGGGTGGAAGACGGTTGTAAAGGAAAAAAGCCTCAAGGTGGGAGATACATGTGTCTTTGAGTTGATCGACGTCAATAAATGTATGCTAAAGGTTTTCACATTTGGCAACATGGGTAAAATCCCGGATGGAGTTCAACGGGCTTTAATCAAGCAGTAGACAAGTTAGAATGCAGATGAATGATCTGAATAAATTGTGTGGTCGATCCTTTAAATCTGTAAGGTTTCTTGTGAAGTTCAATGTCATAGACAAGTAGTTGCAACAACATATGTGGATATGTGTAGGACTAGGTTCATACGATATTAGCGTTGAGAAACAATAATAAACGATCTTACAGAAAATAAGTGTAGAAATTAAAGATTCAGCACAAGCGATTTTTTTGGGCCTAAGTTTCGAAGGTTCAACGATTACTTCCAATGCTACTACATCCTCCGTTGAACATCTAATAAATTGGATTATGCTCAGTTGCACTAAATAGCCCAAAATGACAACGAAAGGTTACAAATGTTTAACCACTACACAAAGATAAAACCAGAAGACTTATCTTTCAAAACACAACGATTGATCTATGAAGATTCACCAAAAATCTTATCAAACCCTCTAAAAACAGTAACTCAAAAGAACCCCCACGTTCTTACTAATACTTACTCGGATTTGTCTACACGTACGCAACCCCTTACATAATTGTTTACACTTACTGAGCTGGCATCTTCCCAAGTCAAAAAATTTATTTAAGTCAATTTCTCAGCAAAATCTCGCGAGAGAAATTAACTTTAAAAGAAAGACTCCTTCCCCCAAATTGAATCTCGCTTGCACAAACAATTCCTCCTCTCTCAAATCTGCGAAAGTCCTTCTCTTTGTACCTTTCGATCTCCTTGCACAATTCCTTCCCTTCCATTTTTTTTAGTTTGAAGAACTGTGAGCCCTTCTCTCTCTTAACTTGTGTCGGCTTCATACTATTGTGAAGAACCGAAAGAAATCGAGGTTAGTATATGTTGTTCGAAGCTGATTTTTTTTTTTTTTCATTCTAGTTGCTTATTTCTTGTGATTACTTAGTCAGCAACTAGTTTTTACTAGTATTAGATGTTTTCGCATTTTTTTTGGGATAAATCTAGTTATTCGATGTTTTCGCATTTTTCTGGGAATAAATTTGCTTATAATTTTAATTCATGAAATGGTGCAGTGAATTTTACCGTTGGTGTTAGCTTATTAGTTGATAGTTATAAAAATGGATTTTGATTAGTGCAACGAATCATATCATTTGTGTTTGCATAGTTGTTGATGTTAAGTTTATAGTTATAAAAATGGATTTGTGACTATTGCAGTCAATCTTACCATTTCTGTTGGCTTATTTGTTGATGATAAGTTTAGGGTATAAAAATGGATTTGTGATAGCAAATGGGCAAAGAATAATCTGTGAAATAAATATGCTTATTTGTTGATGCTAAGTAATGTTTGTTAGGTTAAATAGACAATTGGTACAAGTGTTCCTTTTATCTTATGCTAATTGGTCTTCTATTTGTAATGCAATTTGGTATCTCAAAATAATTTGCTGTTGATTTGGTTATTATGTGGTTGCGTTAGTCATGTTTGATGGCAGGCAAGAATAAAGGAATCTATCATAGTTGTAGACAACCAAGATACACGTTGTTGGAATGCCCGAAGAAAAGAGTATGTCCAAAATGTGGTGAGGGTTTCGTCAAATGTATGGAGGTGGAAAAGAATACTGAAAACATAGGAAAGATATTCCATTGTTGTACTCGGGACTGCAGTTATTTCAAGTGGAGTAAAATCTTGCCCATTGAAGAATATCAGTTGCATATTGAAGGTGAATCAAGTGGTGTCCCGAAGCCTAAAGATCGGTTCGATGATTTGTCGCATATGTTCAAAGAATTTACTAAAGTATCTACTAATGAAGATGACTTGGAGATTTCCTTCAACATAACAATTTGCACGGGGAAACGAGTTTTGGAAGGCAACGACAAGTGAAGGAAAGCTACCTAGTAATGTTAAGAGTATAGGACTATGTATAATGTAGTTGTTTATGGATGTAATTTTTAAGTGGATGGTTATGTGTAATGTAACGGTGTAGGTTTGTTTAAAACGGGTTTGGATTCAACGAGAATTTCTTTTGGCAAAGATAATGTTGCTCATGTCATTTATAGCTTTCGTATGTGTATCTTTGATATAAAGTGGTAAAAAGATATCCCTTGGTTGCTATCTCTTTCAATCAATTTGACAAATGCATGTGAATTGGAACATGAATATCATTTTTATGGACCTCATTTAGTTTATTAATTACACATTAGTACCTAAATATCACTATTATACAGAGACAAAAGCATTAACAGAAAACCATATCAATCACATTTAGCCAAAGAACTGTTTATATAGCAAACATTAACATGTATCGTGCACTCACAGATGGTTCAAGCCCGTAATAGTGAATTTGAGCAGGGAGAATAGATTCTGGGGAAACCTAAGAGCTTGCTACATGTAAAAACCATTGATTCATTCTAGCTGTATGTAACAACACTCAGTGAGGAAAACACATGATGAACTAAAATAGCAAAGGAAATTGCATTGAAGTCAAGTCATGCAGACAAGTCTTCCTAGTAAAAAATTTATGGGGGAAAAAAGAGAGCAAAAATTTATAATAATAGTAAGCCATGTGCAATGACTATAAATAGTAGGAAATTACATAACAGTGACAATAGGAAATTACATAATGCCTAGGAAGAACCCAAAAACTTATACAATCGATAATTAATGTTGTACATAAAAAATTCACATAACCTGATTTGTCTACATTGCACAACATCATCTTTAGCCCCCCCAAAACACAAAAGAAATCCCGTTGCTATTTATTCATTGCCATCACAACACTTCAAAGCTATCCCGTGTCCCAACATCTTCAACGGTGAACGTGGATGAAACCCCGTTCTTTTGCCTTTTACACATGGGCACCTGTGCAACATGGGAAAAAAAAGTTTGAGCATCTTTGAAAGCTAAAAGTATGTTACAAAGCTTGAATAAATTTCATACCGTCCGAGAACTTTTAGATTTGCTTGAACTAGTTTCTAGATGACCTTTTCTACGAAGTTTTCTAGGGGCTTCTTTGCGTTTCGTGTACTTTGGATCCAATATGCTTCCGCTAGCACATGCTACTGAGTCAACACATTGAGAGCCCACATTAATACACTTCGACTGAGATGCTTCTGTTGTTTCGAACATGATCTAATCCATAATTCTCCTACATTGTTGTTCGTCATGTGCTATCACATCGGCTAACTTGGTAAACGTATTGCATAGTTGCTGATCTCTAACCTGCTCGGCGCTACTGACAAAATCATCATGTTTGATGGGAAACCTCATGTAAGGTCGGTTCACATCTCGTCTCCATCTCTTCAATATATATCTCTTCGAAATTAACACCACATCGTTACGGATTAAAACTGATATTGCATGCTTGCAAATAATTCCTCTAAACTCAAACAAGTGGCAATTGCATTCAAATTCACAATTTTCCCTACGAAATGAAACTGTAAAAATTTGTTTCTTCATGCCTTCGTTGCTAATGATATCCTTACGAACCTCGTAAGTGAAGTCAAAATATGAGTCCGTCACAGATAAGATCTCACAATACACCTTCCCCGTAAACTCTTGCCGGAACTCTTTGAACTTAGAGATCGTGTACACTAATTGAAATTGTTTCTCCATATCATACCTTGTTGCACATGGGACCATCTGCGAAAATGATTTGAAATCAGCTTGAAATTCTTTTTCAACTTTACTTCTCAATGCCCGCTCATATTGTTCTACAAATTGCTTCAGGGAAGCTTTTGAATGAACATATCCATCAAAAAAGGCATTTATGCTCTCACTTCGTTGGGTGGTTGACATACCAGCCCAAAATAAATTTTTCAAATAACATGGCACCCAACACCTTCTATCATTGTAAAGTCCAGTCAACCAACCATGTTCTTGTCGTTCATAATGTACAAGCTTTGTATGCCATTTTTCCTCAAACTCTAGAGGACTTTGTGTATCATACACCAACCCATGTACACTAGAAAGAATAGAATTTTTGTGCCTACGGTTACCGAACATTTCTGATAACTTCTTTAAAATATGCCACAAACACCATCTGTGTCTCATGTTTGGGAAGATGATCTCAATTGCATTTTGCATAGCCCGATCTTGATCCGTTATAATTCCATTCGGAGCTTGACCGTGCATGCATTCCAATCGTGTCTTAAACAACCATACAAAAGTCCAAGTATCTTTATTCGAAATTAGGCCACATCCAAGAAGTGTTGATTAGCTGTGATGATTAACTCCAACAAATGGAGTGAGGGGCATATCATACTTGTTGGTCAAGTATGTGGTGTCAAACGTGTCCACATCACCAAATTCCTTATAGGCTTCTCTGCATTGGTTATCCGCCCAAAACACATTTCTCAACCGACAATCTTCATCCAAATCTATACTAAAATAGAAGCCAGGAGTACTTGTTTGCATTCTTCAGAAAAAGGCTTGAATTGCAGTGGCGTCTCCCTCACCAAGCCTTAACCGTCACACTTTGTCAATAAAATTTCTACAATCTTTTTCAACGCACGCCAGCTTGTCATATCCACTAGCTTCAACTACGACGGAGTTAAAGCTTTTGTGCAATGGAATTCCAGCAATGTCATTTATTTCAAGCTGTCTTTTGATGCGAGCACTAATTTCGCTATTATATCAATATAACCTCGATTTAGATGGGCTTGTTCTATGATTGTGCTCGAAATAGACAGTGTTAATACGCCATGTTCCACCTATCTCCGAACATGCTGTCACCCTCGCTTTACATCCAGTTTGGATTGTTGGCTGAGGATTTAAAGAAGAACTTGTAGCAGTGGTTTGTCATCCTTCTCGACTACATGTGAAGCATACATATCGTACTATCCCATCTTCACCCTCCCTTGAATTTTTTTCTGATAGGAAACTCGACTTGGTATGCATACTTCTTGTAAAATTCAAAAATTTCATTTTCGTCTTTGGACTTCATTCCAGGCTTGGCACAGTAATGTCATTTCTTTCATAACCTGCACATAAATTTCGTCAAACCAAAAACATATAAATGTCAAAGAAACTGGTAAAAAAAAATTGTTCTAAAAAGAATGGAGCCAGATAAAAGAATTCTTCTTTGGCCGTTAATTCAATAATAAGATATTTATTGTCATAAGTGACACTGCAATGTATGAACTATACAGCTGAAGTCAACAATGCACAGAGCAAGAACCACTTGGAATCTGAGAGAGCTTCAATTTATTTTTTATTTTTTTTTATGTTTATCTTGTTTGAACGAGGATTTAAAGAAGAACTTGTAGCAGTGGTTTGTCATCCTTCTCGACTACATGTGAAGCATACATATCGTACTATCCCATCTTCACCCTCCCTTGAATTTTTTTCTGATAGGAAACTCGACTTGGTATGCATACTTCTTGTAAAATTCAAAAATTTCATTTTCGTCTTTGGACTTCATTCCAGGCTTGGCACAGTAATGTCATTTCTTTCATAACCTGCACATAAATTTCGTCAAACCAAAAACATATAAATGTCAAAGAAACTGGTAAAAAAAAATTGTTCTAAAAAGAATGGAGCCAGATAAAAGAATTCTTCTTTGGCCGTTAATTCAATAATAAGATATTTATTGTCATAAGTGACACTGCAATGTATGAACTATACAGCTGAAGTCAACAATGCACAGAGCAAGAACCACTTGGAATCTGAGAGAGCTTCAATTTATTTTTTATTTTTTTTTATGTTTATCTTGTTTGAACTAAAGAGATAAAAACAAGGTTTTTCTTTTCCTTTCTCCTTTTCAATGGAAATAAATGTTTGAAGAACTAAAAGGAATTACACATTTCAAATCCTAACAAATGCTCAAAGACTACAAAATATATTTAGGTGTTTGTCACTGTTTAGTTCAATAATGACGGGTGAGTGCAAATGACGGGAGAATGTGCACAATATAAGATTTTCAAAAATAATGGGTACCTGCGTTCTCCTCGCTGTCAAGGTCGTCGGTTGTGATCTCATCGACCTCAAGATCGTCGGCATCGGTGTCATCACCTTCGACTAATGGGTACCTGTTTTCATTTTCGCTCACTTGTGAAAACAACTCACTTGCAGCTGATGGGAGAAAATGTCTTGGGCTCAAATCATTGTACTTGCTGGCGTCGAATCTTTCGGCATCGATTTCGTCGGCTTCATATTCCGAATATTGTGACTGTAGGTTCTCCTCATCTTCCATATTTCTTTGCCTCCAAAATGAAGTCGAAAGATACATGAAGGAGGGAAGGGTTTCTTTAGACAAATCAATTTTTTTTTCCTCTTTTCTTTTTCAAATTGGCGAGAAGTTGGCTTTTGACTGGGGAAGATGCTAGCTCAACAAGTGTAAACAATTATGTAAGGGGTTGTGTACGTGTAGACAAATCCTACTTACTCAGTATATCACAAACCAAAGGATAATTGTTACAGATCATAAATCTCAAATCAAAAATTTAAGATGAAAGACATAAAAGAGGAAACCAAAGCAGACGATAGATTTTTTATCTTAAAACCAAAAGTCAATCTCAACCAAAAGGAGAAAAACATGCCAAGTGCCAAGTTAAACAACATTTCAAGAATATTAGAACCATCAAGAATCCAGCAATCAACGGCAAAGATAGAGCCACATGTCTCAATCCAGTTTAAAATGTTTTACTAATAAAGTTGCATTTCTTAGAAACACGCTTTAAGTACAAATTCTTGAAGCACCTCAATTCGGACTAAGATTCGAATCCAACATTTGCCACCTTGCTACCATAATTTGGGACTATAAGTGCAACAAAGACCATTACTACAATTCACTTTCATTTGCTCTAGGTACCTATACATGCATTACACAGAAACAATGGATACAAATTTCAAACAATCAACAAATGTACTTAAAGGAATCACTTTTGTACCAATTAAATTTCATGGCAACTTTACCAAATTTGAAAATCCCTTTAGAAATTACATCTCTATTGAAATGGTATTTAACATCAATATGCTTTGTTCTGTCATGAAACATAGGATTTTCACCAAGATGAATGGCATTTTAATTATCAAAAAATAATATAGCATGATTATCAACAAATTCAAGTTCAAATACTAAACCACTTAACCACATTCCCTTTTTTATAGTATTAGTAGCAACAATATATTCTGCTTTTGTAGAGGATAGAGTAACAACTGTTTGAAGTTGTGATTTCTAGCTAACTATAGTTCCACATAAGTTATAAAAATAGGATAAAGTCGATCTTGTGTTATCTCTATCTCCAGCAAAATCAAAACTTTATATGCCTTTAAAGTTACACCATCTTTACTTCATTTAACCATTAGACCTGAGTTATGTGTACCTTTAAGATATCTTAATAACCATTTTAAAGCATTCCAATGTTCTTTCCTATGGTTACTCATAAATCTGCTTAAAATGCTAATATTATATGCAAGATCGGGTCCTGTAAAAATAATCAAATACATAACAGAACCAATAGCATTTTCACAAGGAACTTTAGACATTCTAGCATATGCATCTTCAAATTTAGGACAAAATTCAAAAGATAACTTAACACGATTAGCAAAATATAAGGTTACAAGTTTACATTCATGCATGTTATTATTATTATTTTTTTTTTAAATTTTAACCACATAATCATGTTGATTCAAGAATAGCAAGTCCCCTTTTTTATTTTTCCAAATCTACATATCCAGTATCTTTTTAGCAAAACCAAGATTCTTCATATCAAACTCATATTACAATTTCAATTTAATATTATCAACCTCAGATTTATCATAACTAGCAAGCAACATATTATCCACATAAAACAAAGAATTTTTACCTCCATCACCTTTACAGTATAAGCAAGTATCATACTGGTTTCTTCAGAACAAAGTATCAAACATATTGTACCATGTCTAAGTGCTTGTTTTAAACCATTTAATGACCAATAGACAAATGGTATTTTCATGATCTCCTCTTTCAAAAACAACAGGCTATCGTATGTAAATCATTTCATGTAACTTACCATACAAGATCCTATTTAAATTAAGCAACAAGAACAGGCAGGCATCTGATAAAAATATTTTGCAACAAGCCTAGCTTTATGTTTAACATTTTTACTGTCTCGTTCTCCTTGTTTTTCTTTATAGATCCACCTGCAGACAATCGATTTTCTATCCTTTAGGTCTGATAACAAGATCCCAAGTTTTGTTCTTAAGAAATGAAGACTTCTTATCTTCCATGATAGCCATCCAATTTTTACTTTCTTTACACTTAATGGCATCCTTGTAGGACATTGACTCATTTTCGAACTGTCCTTGATAAGTAAATAAGGAAACATAATTATCATTGTCAAATCTGGTAAAAGGTCTAATCTGCCTTCTCTTCTTATTTTTTGTGAGTTGATACTCATCAAAAGGAAGAGAAGTAGGAGATTGGTTAGTCTGATTCACTTCTTGATCATTTTCGGTTTTTGGTATAGAGATATATTCTCTAGGACCAGTTTTATCTACTACAGGTACAAGAGTATCTTGCTCAATGTGAGAAAACTCCACCTTAAATTAAATATCTTTATCAATCAATACACTTTCTTTTCCTTCTAAATATGGCATTAAGGATTTATTAAATATAACATCTTTTCTAATAATAATATCTCTATGCCCCTTTTCACATTTTACCCATAATCTGTAGCCTTTAACATTTTCATCATAGTTCAAGAAAACATATTTAAGTGATCTAGGTTTTAATTAACCAATGTTTTGATGAGCATTGCAACACAAACTAATGCTTTCAAGTGGGAATAATTCACAGTATTATTAGACGAAACAGATTCAGGTACATCAAAATTAAAGCCCTAGTAGGACTTCTATTAACAATATATACTGCAATTTTACAAGCTTCACCCCAATAAAATTTAGGCAAACCAGAACTTAAAAGCATACATCTTACTTTGTTCAATAAAGTCTCGTACATCTTTTCAACTATTCCATTTTGTTAGGGAGTATAGGTGACGGTTCTATATCTTAAAATACCATGTTCTTTGCAAAAAAAATTTGAATTCATTATTATAAAATTCCAAACCATTGTCAGTCTTTAAGATTTGTATTTTATGATCAATTAGATTTTTAACATAGTTTTCCAATCTCTAAAAATAGAAAATGTCCCATCTTTGTTTTTTTTTTTTAATAAGAAAGCCCAAATTTTTCTTCAAAAATCATCAATAATAAGCAAAAAAATATTTGAAACCAAATAATGTACACAAATCAGTAAGACCCCACAAATTAGCATGTAAGTATTCCAATACTCGTTTGGATTTATGAATTCTAGTTGCAAAAGTAGTTTGACTTGTTTTCCTATAACACATTGTTCACAAGAACCAAAATCACCTAAATTTAATTTTTCAAAAACTCCTTTTAATAGTAAAGAATTCAAACTCTTTTTGCCAATATGACCAAGTCTATCATGGCATAAATTTGCAAGTTTAAAGTTTCCAGATAAAGCAAAAGTAAGCAAAAGTAGTCAATCCAAGTAATGGCTTAGCTTTTAGAAAATAGAGGTAATGTTTCTTAGGGGTACTTACGATTGAATCATTGCCCCTGAGAATTTTAATGTGTCATGACCCAAATTTATGTTAAACTCCATATAATCTAACATACCTAGGGATACTAGATTCCTCTTTAAATGAGGAACATAGCTTGTTCCTTTCAGAAAATAGAACATTACTATTATCCAATAACAATTTTATTGTACATGTCCCTTTAACTTTACATTAAATATTATTTCCCATTATAATTTGCCCTCAAGCAGTTTTTTCAAAATCAAGAAAACAGTTTTATTTGAGCACATATAGAAGGAAGAACTTGAGTCAAGGATCTATTCATCACTTGATTACATTTCCACACTAACAAGGACTAAACCAGTTTCATGCTTCACTTTATTATACATAAGGCATTATTCCCATCATCAAACTTCTTTTCTTTTTAATCATTTTTCTTCTTAAAGCAATCTTTAGCAAAATGACCCAACCTCCCTCGCTAATAACTCTTCTTGCCTTTTGCCTTATTTTTTCGACTTATTCTTTACATATTTTTATTTGCAATAAAAGACTTAGAGTGATAATTTGATTTACAAAAACTTTTCCCTTTACTAACAAATTATCTTCATTTTGACAATTACTAGAATCAGTTTTCATCTCTAGAGTCTTATTTCTTAGGGAATTAGTTATGATATCAATGGTAAGTTTTTCCTACCATACTAGTTTAACAAGACAACAACCATATGATCTTTTGAAGTTTTTCGTCACAATTGGCTAAGTCTTGGGTGAGTTTTGTGAATTTGCTTAAATTTTCATCCAAATCAACTGAGGAATCCATCTTAAAAGAAAATAATTGTTTAGTAGGAAACATTTATTGGGAGTAGCTATTGTCACATATTTAGCATGAAGTTTAGCCCACAATTTAGAAGTAGTTTTTGTTTCACCAGTATTTCTTATCACATTTTCACACAAGTACAAGAAGATAGTACTCCAAATAACTTCTTGAAATTCAGTTTTCTTTGCAATAAGTAAGTCAATAGTCCAACTATTATTTGAAGCCCTTATACATCTCATTTGCATTAAAATTGCAATCATTTTTTGACTCCACATATTGAAATCACTTTTTCTATCAAATTGACTAATTTCAAACTTAGCAGAAGATATTATCAGCAAGTATGACTTACAAATTGAAGACAATTTTCATAGATTTCAAAGAACATTAAGAATACAGATCGGTGTCAATCACAGAACACAGTAATTACACTTAGTAAAATAAGATTTCACAAATTTCAAGCACACAAAGAGAACATGCAGATCAAGACTCAAAAGAAAACACAATAATAGAGATCACAAAACTACGTTTTAGAAATTCCTCCTTCAATATGTACACACCCCTATTTGATTTATCTCAAATTACCAATGCCTCTTAGGAGCCTCTAGACAAAAATTAGTCTCAAAAGGGTTATTACGTATGGTAAATCAAGGGAAAAGTCAAGAAACCTGAATTTCTGAAAGTAAACTTTACAAAAATTAAAAGATCGCACCTGGAGAGTTTGAAAAACAAATTTTCTTTCAATTTTGCTTGACAACAGTTCCGAAAATTTCAAACGATTGCGGATCAACCAATTTCTCCAAAATCTGGGTATCTTGCTCCTCAGTATTGGCTTTGATACCACTGTATGACCAAGTTCATATGATATTACCATTGAGAAGCAATAATAAATGATCTTATAGAAAATAAAAGTGCAGAAATTAAAGATTCAACACAAGTGATTTCTTTTGACCTAAGCCCCTGAGGATCGATGATGACTTCCAATATTTACATTCCCCGTTGAGCATCCAATTTATTGGATGCTCGGTTGCACTAAATAATCCAAAATGGCAACGAAATGTTACAAATGTTTAATCACTACGCAAAGATAAAACTAGAAGATTTGTATCTCAAAACGCAATGATCGATCTACGAAGAATCACCAAGAATCTTCTCAAATCCTCTTAAAACAATAACTCAAAAGAACCCTCATGTTCTTACAAATATTCACTCAGAATATTAGAAACTAGAGGCTAAGTATTACAAATCGTAAGTCTCAAATAAAAGTTTGAGATGAAAGACATAGAATACAAAACCCTAGCAAACAAGAGAGTTTTTTTTTTCTCTTAAAACCCAGAGTTAGTCTCTACCAAAATGAGAAAACCACACCAAGTGCCAAGTGAAACGGCACTTCAAGAATAATAGAACCATCCAGAATCCAGCAATCAATGAAGAGCCACATGTTTCAATCCAGTTAAAATGCTTTATTAACAAATTTGCATTTCTCAAAAACATGCCTTTAGAACAAATCTGGAAGCACAAGTTGTTGAATTCTTGGAACTGTTTATATCAAAGTGAAATAGGACTGGATTCATTGCCCATGCAGCTTAAATGGATGTCTTTGCATTGTTATTCACATAGGCTTTGTTCAAAACAAATTGAGATGGAGAATAGCTCATCGCCTTGTGATACGTTTACATGAGCAATTATCTATGAAACACTAGAGTACTAAGTACCAATGATATGACATATCAATTAATAATGATCTGCCAATTATGAATCATATATGAATGATGGAATTTGGCCTGATCGAGCATGTCAAACTCACACATCATGTTTCGGGACAACCCTCTATGTTGGGCCTTGATTTTGTTCTCTAGGAAGTTATTAGGAGTAATGATAAAAAAGTGTAAATCTTGTTGGTTAAAGATTGTGTTTTTAATTGCTAAATGTTACAATCGTTATTAGATCTTGAATGCACTCCAACTCTAGGGGTAGAAATTTCCTCCAAGAAATTGCACATTTCGTTCCTATGTGATCCTCATTTTCTAAGATTAATTTTTTTCCAAACTCTTTTTCAATGATATATTTTATGAAATTCACAACTTTTGTCAATATTTAATCATACATTTCATCAACTTTTTTTAAATCAAAATTTACCCAAAAAATGATTCTAAACAAAACCAAACTGGGCGAAATGTCCTATTTTTCCCAAATCGATGAATGCATTACATTACATACATTCACCTTGGTCACGAATTTAGACAACGGACTTTCAATATTGCTATTAATTTTTTATTGGAATAAATGACTTCCATTATTGATCTTTACTTTTTTTTTTTTTCAAGATCTTAACTTGTCGATCGACTTGATTTACGGTACAAGAATTCAACGTATATATCTAGTTGAATCCTTATATTAAGATTGATGAAATTAAGTACCAAGACGAAACTTGGTTCTAAACCATAATTTTTTAATAGATTTTTTTATTTAAAAATCAGAGAACAATAGTTAGTATGATCAACTAGTCCATATGTTATATGTTGTGTGATAACACAACTATAGCTTGTAAGATATCGAGGATATATTCAAAGACTGGTCAGTTGTGATAACTCTCATAACTGTTTCTTTAATGCTAAAATAAGTGACATTTTTACTTGTAAATAAGAAAATAATAATCTATTCAAAATTTTAGATATAAAAATTAATTAAAAATAAATCTTAACTTGATTTTAAGCTTAATAAGCGAACCCTGACAATAGACCAATTTAGCATGACTTTTGAAATGTTGGAGTTTTTGAGACCCAAAGGCTGCTTTGGACTCGCTTTGCTTATTTTATGAAAATATTTCATCTTTTTCGAAGAGCTTTTAAAGGAGTTCGTTTAATGTGACTTTTTAAAAATTTTGCCAAACGAGTAATCTATCATAACTAAGCTAATCTTGAGGAGCCTTGTCACTCCTTCCAAGAAAAACTTTTCCGCTCTCATCCGGCTCACAAATCGTATTATTAACCGTCCAAACAGAGACGGATTTAGGGGGGGCTGGGCTGTAGACCCCCCTTCAGACCCAAGAGTTTTTTTTTTAGGTATTTTTTATTTTTTTTTTGGTAAAAAACCAATTTTTTATGTGTAAATTTTTTTTTCACTCGTAGTAGCCAAGTTTGAAATTTTGTAACCCGGTCTTGGATCCGTCCCTGCGTCCAAATAACTTGTTCTAGCTCATTTCGTGGCGTTATCATATCGAATCTACCACAGAAAGTGGGTAATAAATTGGTAAATTTTAAATTATACTATCTGTAGTTTTGATGAAAAAGTATTTTTTTTTGGAAAAATTAAGAATAAATAAATAAATCAATCTAATCTCCAAGGCCAAGTACTCAACCCAATATGTTGGGAACTGGCAACTGCAGGACTAGGAGAGAGATTTTTCATCTTGGGAAAGTTGACTAGTGGAATATGAAACGGCGATTTTCTTAATATAACGAGCTCTTGCTGAAAAATGCAACAGACAGAAGTAAAAAACAAAAATGGAAGAGATATCCAATTTACCAGCAAGATTTTTTAAGGTTGTTTTGCCTTCGACCACTGCCCGACAAAGATTGGTATGTGACATGCCTTCTTTTTATTTTCATTGATACTAAAAATTGAGTCGTCAAATATATTATATGTTTATGCAGAGGATCCCGAATAAATTTGTCGAAAAGTATGGAAATGAACTATCGAGCGTTGTCACACTTGCTGATCCTATTGATGGCATTTGGTGTGTGAGGTTGGAAAAGGCGGAAAAGACAATTTGGCTTCACGACGGCTGGGAAAAGTTTTTTGATGGCCACTCCATCGATTATGGCGACTTGTTACTCTTCAAATATAGAGGGAATTCAAGCTTCAATGTTCATATATTTGACCTGACGGCAACTGAAGTTGACTATCGTAATAATCGTAACTTCAGAAAGGACGAGAATAGTGATGATGATTCTGTTAAAATTCTAACTTCCTTCCCTAGTAAACCGGAGATTTCTTCTTCGAGAAATGTTATGGGAAATGAATGTGGGATCCATGCAACATATGGTATAAGACATGGAGTCAATAGAGGACACCGTGATGCAGCTGAGATGTCAATATCTCACCATTCTTATCTAACACGAAGCAAATGTAAAATAGAAGATGGCGGGCTGGAAATTAAAATAGAGAATTTGAATACATCAAGTAAGTTATCCACAGTAAATTTTGCTTTAAAAAAAAAAAAAAAAGAATTGGTGAAATGTTGATAGTAATACAGTACATGTTGCAGAAAATTTTTCACCTAAGTATCCTTCATTTGGAGTCTATTTGAAGCAGAACAATCTTTTTCCAAGGTGTTGTATGGTAAGCTCTTGAGCTTTGAGTTTACCAAAGTTATATGTACAGTTTTCACTTGACCCTAACGTGGTTAAGTTTTCTTATTTCTGAAGTACGTTCCAGTCGCGTTTGCTGAGCATCTTCCTAGTTCTTCTGGGCATTTCGAACTTCATGATTCTGATGGTAAGAAGTGGCTACTCAATATCATTCGAGGAAAAAGACGCAAGAACTATTTATGCTCAGGATGGAAGACAGTTGTAAAGGAAAAAAACCTCAAGGTGGGAGATACATGTGTCTTTGAGTTGATCGACGTCAATAAATGTATGCTAAAGGTTCTCACATTTGGCGCGCAACACAGGTAAAATCTCAGATGGAGTTCAACAGGCTTGAAACAAGCAGTAGACAAGTTAGAATGTAGATGAATCATCTGAATAAATTGTATGTTCGATCCTCCGAATCTGTAAGGTTTCCTTTGAAGTTCGATGTCCAAGACTCATAGTTGAAACAACATATATATATATATATATATAGATATATGATTATTTCTTAAGTTGTTGAATTCTTGGAACCTGTTTATATCAAAGTGAAATAGGACTGGACTCATTGCCGATGCAGCTTGAATGGATGTCTTATATATATATATATATATATATGATTATTTCTTAAGTTGTTGAATTCTTGGAACCTGTTTATATCAAAGTGAAATAGGACTGGACTCATTGCCCATGCAGCTTGAATGGATGTCTTTGCTGCATTGTTATTCACATAGGCTTTGTTCAAAACACATTATATGGAGTATAGCTCATTGCCTTGGTGATATCTTTTACACGAGAAATGATATATCAAACCCAGATACTTAACATAAGCTAAGTACTAATGGCATGACGTATCAATTAATTGTTGAATAAGTACACAGTGATTTCAAGAATTTAATATTCTATAAATTAATTGACATATTATGTCAGCGGTGCTTAGTAGATCAATTCTCATCTTTATATTTGATGAATTATATAAGAATGAAGGGATTTGACTTGATCGAGCGTGTCAACCTCACATGTCCTATTTTGGTGGCAGCCCTTCATCTTGGGCATCGATTTTGTTCCCGTGGAAGTTAATAGAAGTGATGATAAAAAAGTATCACTAGAATTAACTTCCATTATTGACCTCCACATGTCCTTTTTTCCCCCAAGTTCTTAACGTGTTGATCGACTTGATTTACATAAGAAGAACTCAACCTACATCTTAAGTTAAATCCATAAATTAAGACTATTGAAATTCAGTACGAAGATGAAACTTAGTTCTAAACCATAATCTTTAATAGATTTTTCACTCAAAATTCAGAGAGAGTTAGTTATGTAATATACTTAGTGCGATAATGTGACTATAGCTTGTAAGATATCGATCATTCAACGATTGTGATCACTTTCATAATGTTCTTTAATGCTAAAATAAGTAACATGTTACTTTTATGTATGAAATTAATAATTTATTATAGAAATAAAATTTTACTTAGAAGTAAGTCTTATTTTAATTTTAAGCTTAACAAGCGACCCTACCAACATCTAAAATGTGTACACAAACTTCAAATGTGTATACCATAAATGACAACACACAATAAGCTTATTTAGACAAATTTATAAATGGTTATAAATAAGAACAATAGGAGGAATAGTAATGAGTTGAATGAAATGTGTGGATAGCAATGAGAAATGATTGAAATTATTGTTTGACTTTAACTTAATTTATAAACATTGAAGGTTCCTCGAGTTTTTTTATATTATTTTATTTCTTAAAGTTCATTTTCAACAATTAAATATTTTTCATACAGTTTTAATCGCCAAATTTTCTTAAAAATTCTAGTTGAGTCACTTTGTAAACCTTATGTCTTGGAAAACACTGTGTTTCCTCAAATTTCTAAGACGATGAAATTTTTGGAGGGATTTGTTTAAGAAGTATCACAAAAAAATTAAATAAAATCATCAATTGGTCTACTTTTGTTAATACTTGTAAAATGATAATGCTATTTATTACTACTCGGGCTATCAATGGATTGGATATGGATCGGATCTGCTCAAATCTGATTTGATCCGTTAAGAATAATTATCCGATCTGATAATCTGACAGATATTTGAATGTTAAATCCAAATCCAATTAGCTATGTTATCGGATATCCGATCCGATAACTTGATCCAAAATTGAAAAAATTAGAAAAATAAAAATTTTATTTATTTTTTCATTAAAAAATCATAGTCTCAACAAGATTTTAATTATTTATTTATTTTAAACAATATTTGAACTATTTTGATGTGCTCACTTATTATATTAGAAGGTCCAAATCAAATTTTATATCCAAGTGATGCTCATTTTAACTCCTTCTTAAAAGAGACAATTTTTGGAATGTTTTATTGATATTCCAATGTGGAATACTAGCTTTTTAAAGGATTCTCATCTTCCTATGATTTAGTGATATTTCAATGTGGGATATTAATTATAATCATTTGTCAATTTTAAATGTTTACTAGTTTACTTTATTATTTTCATTAAAAATTATAGCCTCAATAAGATTTTAATTATAAACAATATCAATTTGAATAAAGTAAATTATTTTAGACATATTAATTGTTAGTTTTTATGTTATAAAACAAATTACTATAATAAATCTAATCAACGAATTAATTATTAGTTTTATTTTATTTAATTAATAAAAAAATTAAATCTCTTCAAAATTTTCAATTAAAATTATTATATAATACTATTTATTATTTAAAAATTATGAGTAAAGAGTATAATACAATTTTCAAAATGGAAAAAACAGTGTTATATATTATGCGATAATATAAGAAATATAATATATTATTATAATAAATCGGATCGGATTTTTATCGGATCGAATTGACCTATATCCATATTTGATTCATTTAGTTAACAGATTATCAGATTCGGATTTCAATCGGGCTATCAAATTGAGATCCTAAATCCATCTCCCATTAATTTTATTGGATTTGAATCAAATCCAATCTATTGACAGCCATAATTACTATGGATGTTTATTATATGTCTATGTAGCATTGAGATCACAACCACATTGTTCAAAAATAGTTGAATAATAACATATATCGCCAATCTAGGCAGAATATATTCTTATTTATTAAAAGACGAGGATATCATTGCAGGGCATGGAAATTATATTAAACTGCATAATTCAAATGCTCACTTCACAATATTTATACTATCAATTAAAATTGAATATACATTGCACATTATTTTAAAATATTTTATAAGTACCAAAAAAATAATATTTAAGCTTTGTTTGATCCACATTAAAAAAAAAAAAAAAAAAAAAAATCTTCAACAGTGAATTGATATAATTTCAACCACATATTCTTCAATAAAATAATATTAAACGCAAATTCAAAACTTTTTCTTATTTCTTAACTACACATTTTTCATCAATACACTATTCAAAAATATATTTTTCGTTCCAATAATGTGGCTCAAACAATGGCTTAATATGATTTCAATCTAGTGATGGCAATGGGGTGGGTTCAGGATGGGGCAACTTTTTGCTCTGTTTACTTTTTTTTATTTTTTATTTTTTTTAACATTTTCAAAGTTTCAAGTTATGTTATTATTAGAGAATAAAATACAAATTCAAAATGAATTTTTAACAGGTGAATTGTCTAGAAATAAATTTTTTTTATTTTTTTATTTTTTTCCTTCACGTGGCGGGGCAAATACTGTAAATATTAATTGCTAATAAATGAATTTAAATACCCATTAAAATTCTTAAATACATGAATAAAAATAAAATCATCCACGATAACTCTAGATTCATATATATCAAGATTCATCAAGTCAAGATTGAAGACTAATTGAGTCTAAATTAGTGTAATGTTAATTAATAACACAAAATTCCTATATGATTAATGATTCTATAGTATTTATTACATATTAAAAAACTTAATGTAAAGTATTATTAAAATAATTGAATCATAATAGGGTTAGAATCATCCAAAAAATGATTCTCACTTGATATGATATTTAATATATTATTATTGATATGATAGGCCTTGATCTTGATTTACCACAGCATAAAAAAAATATGTAAGAAAATAAAATTTATCATAGAAATTTAAGAAAAGAAAGTTGCACTCTTAAAACTCAACTTCTATGATTCACATTTTTTTGTGACGATGAAATACAACAAATAAGTAACATTTGTATACTATAATTGGTACATAAGAATTAATTGCTAATACATGAATTTAAACAGCAATTAAAATTCTTAGATTCGTGAATAGAAATAAATTAATCTATGATAACTCTATATTAATGTAGATCAAGATTTATCAAATTAAGATTAATGTGAATGTTAATTAATTGAGAATTAATAATATGAAATTCATACATGATCAAGGATTTTGTAATACTTATTACATATTGAAAAATGAGAAGTAAAATATTATTGAAATAATTGATTTGTAATAGCGTAGAATCGTCTAAAGAAGGTGATCAATGATTTTATAGCATTTATTACATAATGAAAAATGAAAAGTAAATTACTATTGAAATAATTAGATAGTAACACGGTTAGGATCATCTAAAAAATGACTCTTACTTGATGTGACATTTAGTATATTATAGATTATTACATATTGAAAAATAAAAAGTAAAATATCATTGAAATAATTGAATTATAATAGGGTCAGAATCGCCTAAACATGATTCGTACTTCATGTGAGATTTGTAGACATAGATTATAGATTATTGACCTTCTACTACGCATAGAATCCAGCCTCTTCAAATTTTTGGGTGCGTATAATAATTACTAGGGTAAAATTCACAATTAAGGTATTAAGTATGGACAATGCAATTTTCATGTCTAAAGTTTTGAAAATGCAAAAATCAGGTTTTCATTTATTAAATAAATAGATTTTATTAATTGAAAATAATAAGGTCACATATATACCATTAATGGTCACATGTTCATAATTATAGGTCACAAACTTGTTTATTGATAACGTATTATCAAATTAACTAGTCACAGATTATTTCGAGGTCACGAATGAAATTTTTTATAGGTCACGATTTATTTAATTGCTCATAGACGAAAAAATTATAGGTCACAATTTATTAATCAATCACATATTTTTGAATTTGTTGGTCACAATTATCAAATTTTAAGGTCACGATTAAATAATTAGTCACACGTAATGAAAAGGTTGGTCACATGTAATCAAACGGTCAGTCACAGGTCAAATAATTGGTCACATTATATACCACCACCACTTTCACCCCGCCGCCACCGACACTACCACCACTGCCAGTTCCACTAATAACAATAACCACCCAATTTCCCCGACACAACCAAAACACCACCACCACCACTCCCTCAACCAAAAAAACACCACCATTCCTACTTGCACCACCACCAGCATGTCGACTATCCCAACACCGCACAACCACCGCTCCATTACTACCACCACGATAGCATCGACACTGCCAGAGGTACCATACACATTACCACCAACACCATGACACATACAACCATAGGCAGATCACATAGACTCGCCACTAAATCCACAGTATCCACTGCACCACCATCAACATTGTCCACCAC